TGTGAAGGTTATACTCACTTTATTCTTCGATTTTAATGGCATAGTGCATCATAAATTCTTGCCACGAGGTCAAACGGTCAATAAGGAGTGCTACCTACAAGTTCAACGCCGTTTGCGTGAAGCAATCCGAAAAAAACGCCCGGATTTGTGGAAAAACAATTCATGGCTTTTGCACCACGATAATGCACCTGCTCACACTTCATTGTTCGTGAATTTTTGGCCAAAAACAATACTTTAACGATGCCCCACCTCCATATTCGCCAGACATGGCTCTGTGTGACTTTTCCTATTTCCAAAAATAAAGAGAACCTTAAAGGGTCGTCGTTTTACAAGCATAGATGATATTAAAAGCGCATCGCTGAAAGAGCTAAAGGCTATCCCAAAGATCGAGTATGAGAAGTGTTTCGAGGATTGGAAGAAGCGCTGGCACAAGTGCATAATATCTAATGGGGATTATTTTGAAGGCGACAACATTAATGTAGACGAATAAATAAATATTTTTTTCAAAAAACGAAAATTCCTGTTATTTTCTGAACATACCTCGTATATTCTCAGTTACTGCAGCAAATATCAGCACACATTTCTAGATTCCAATTTGATGTAGAAAACATAAACAAATCCCTCTTTTTGGTCCTAAAAAGAATCAAGGATTGTCGGATGACTTTTATTTTAATAACGCAATGAAATACATGCATCTCTGAGAGGAAAAATGAATCTGGTCGACTATTATGTCGCCACTTTTACTATTTTATTCTGTGAAGAGGCCTCGGTATATTTTTTCAATCGCTAAATTTACCTTATTATGTTATTCTACCGTATAAAATAAAAAGCCTCGGAAATTTTTTCAATTGCTGCTTTTTCTTGTTCACCTCTTGCCATTTCGTTGTGCGATAAAAATCAACCGGCAAGAGTTTCGTCGAAGTGGCAAAGTAATCACACAAAGCGGGGTGAGTAATTACCGCCCCAGATGTTTCCTTTCTCATGTTATTATCTACAATATGTATATGCGTGCCACCGTTCGAAGCCCTTGAGGCTCTTAAAATTTTTTCGCTCCCTCCTTTAATATATGCGTTCTTTTTCGGGATAATATCGTTCGGTAATGCCGCGAGAAAAAATACAGGTAGTCAAATAATCATGTGGGGATCGAAAAGAGTCGAGCGAATTATCGCGAAGAAGCTTTGAACGATTGCAATCCATCGCTACCACGCTCAGTCTGCCTGTGCACTTCGAGACAAATGGAACATCCCGAAGAGCGTTATTATAAGCTGAACCGACTTTTACTAGTGGCTAGTGGACTATGGCCTTATCAAAGCACAAAAAATGCTCGTGTGAAAAGAGCCTTGATCACAGTTGTGATGTTATCATCTTTGTTCGTTCAGGTAGGCAGGGATTTTTGAGAAGTGTATATTATTTGTTGTTATTCGAATTTGTCGATTATCTTATTCGACTAACGTCACTCATTGATCGAGAGACTGCCCAGGTTGTAAAAATTCTTGGTTGTGCGAGAGCTTTCATTTCATTTTTGTTTTGAATTGGATGTTCGGAAGAAATATTAAGAAATACACAGAAATACACAGAAATACTCTGAAATATTTAGAAATATTAAGTTAAATATTAAAATATTTACATAATCGTGTACATTAATATCTACTGAAATGATCATTTGACGGATATTTCTCCAATTAACTGTAAACCGTTTCGCCTGCATTTTCTCAGACGACAAGCATTTTTACATCAGAGATTACAATAGATTACTTGATTGAACTGATACCAATGTTTTTACTCCCATTGGGTACATTGATTCACTTGTACGTGCATGTCATACATATGGACAAAGTAAGTTCGGTCCATATACATTTCTAAATGTTTGTTGAGTCAAAAAGTTCGGCTCGATTTTATTAATTGTTCGAAGAAAAGTCAGTTTTATTCTAAGAGAGAAATAGCGCCAACATTATTAGTGAACATTAACGAAATATAATGGATAACGAAAATAAATAGTTGATTTATGAATAATCCGTTTTATGAGCGCAATAAGATCAAATTTGATTCAAAATCAAATCGAACTTATTGACTTTAATTAAACCAATATTTACCGTTTACGCGATTTTCTCCAGTCTACTATTTCATAATGTATTTATCGCGTGCTAGTTTACATATTGTTTTACTTTCATTTAGCTTAGAGAAATTTTCGAACATATGTGGAAGGATTGGGCGTTGCAAAAGACAGACCACGAAGTGAAAATCATGCACAAATATGCTGAGACTACGAGATTAATAATGTTTTATTTCACGCGTAAGAGAAACATTAAATTTCGCTTTATCTACAAGAGAAAAAGGCACGCAGCTTCTTTGCTGTCCATAAAGTTAAGATTGCATTTCTGCATGTGAAAAACACAATGACATCTTCTTTATTGTCAACCTTTGCATATATTGCTTTCAACGAATAACATGCAATACTTCACTTTGATGATCTTATCTTTATAATACACTCACTAAAATCGATATCATTAAATTAAATGGATGTAGCATTTCTTTAGGGTGTTACTTGACACAGTGCTGAATTTACTATCGATAATATCCATAAATTCCCTTTCGTGTTTTTTCATGTTGATTGTTTAATTTCCTTTTTTTAATATTTTAAATAATTAAACATGATTCCCAAAATTTTACGTCGTACGCGTTAATATTACTTCACAAGCAGAATTTACGAATTTTACATTTATTCATATAATGTAGAAATAAAGTACGAAAATACACCGGTAATTTTATTCATCTTACTACATCACTTATTTACAGTATTTTAATGTAATTCAAATTCCTTGAACGTGCTGACATTTAAGAACTTATTCGAAAACATCGAAGATTGACGCCCCTTATCTCAACACACATATTAGAAATTTATTAATCTTCGCGATAGCATATTCGAAATAGAAAAAAAAAATAAAAGGAAGGAAGATAGTCCATAATTTAAATATCAACATCAAATTTTGCAAGTTGAACAATAAATATTTCGTTAAATTCGCATTTCTTCTTATGCAATTTATTTCAAAAAATGCACATACTCACATGTGTTGTGTATATAGTATTAACATTTATAATTTAATTAACATATATTTTGTTAAAAATATAGTTTGGTTGGAAAATTTACGTTTTCTACGAATTTTTCAGTTCAGTTATTTGGGAGTGGCCTGATACAAATAGCATATTTATATGTATCGGAAATTCTTGACATTATATCGCCTATGAACGTATCCCGTCCGCCAAATATTTACTTAAAAGTCAATTATTTAGTCCCTATGGAGCAATACGTTTCCCTCATCCGATTACACATATTCGTCGTGATGTTTGTCGAGATGATAGTCCTCATATCCAGTTTCACCTTCTTTATAGCTGTTATACAACATGGTTGTGGGATGTGCGAACTGCTTGGGTAAGATGTCTCGTCGCGCTTTATTGCTATTTGCAAAGAAATAGACGAATCGTGGTACTCATTAATGAGTAGAATGCTCCATCACTCATCCATTAATTGTTCTCTCAAATACGTATAAACGGTAGTACAGCGAAGAGGATATTAGAATTATGCAGCTCTTTAGTTTCTTGATTGGTTTCTCGCGGATAATAATACATTTTCTCTACTTGCATTTATCGCAAGAGAAATATCGTTCGAAAGAGCTTGATCAATACAATGAAAATAATGATGATTAAACGGTGAATAATGGTAATTTTGGCAGGTATCGTGCAGAGCGCCTATTTTACGTCAACCAGAATAAGGTGAACCTCGATTTAAGTAACAGGACAAAATTAATTTACAAGAACATGGTCGTTTTCGTGCGGCTACATCACAATGTTATACAGTTCGTATTTTTATTTGATGCACGCGTGTTACCTTTGATTAATGTGGCATTGATATTTCCTTCTTCTTTCTTTGTT